CCGAAGCAGGCTCCAGGCTCCGAGCTGTCAGCACAGAGCCTGGCCCGGGGCTCGAACTCACGAACCGCGAGATCATGACCTGAGCCAACCGGAGCCGAGGTCGGATGCTTAACGGACTGGGCCACCCAGGCGCCCCAGGCCTTGGTAGATTTATGGTCAACCTACCCATTTGAATTCCACAACCACCTCCTCACCCCCGTCCACCCAAACCCCAGGCTAAGCGGTCTGCAAGAGCAGTCCTGGAGAGCGCCCCCCTCCGGCATACCACCGGAGCTCAGCGACACTCGCTGCCTGACTACAGTTCCTATGACTGTGCCTGTGTACTGCATATTCCCACAACCTGCGTTCGCACCGCCCTTCACATCCGCCCAGGGCCTCAGGCTTGTGACTCTCGCACCCCGCTATGTGGCTGAGAGTTAGCCATTACGCGCACAGCGCTTCACGCACCCTCAGTAACTCGTGCTCCCATAGCACTGCTGCGTCTCTATTTCAGCCCTTCTGAATCGCTGCAATTCATTCTCGCTCTCACTTTAAGTGCTCCTTCAGGATTCTTAAGGATGTCCCGTTCATCTCCACGGGTCCCCAGGCCACACACAACCTGGACCCTGGAACGTGTTCTGTAAACACCGAGATTCTTCCGCCTCCCGCAAGCCCGGTCCTCTGCTGGCGGGGCCTCAGCCCTGGGCCGGGTTTTTACGCACCCCTGCACCCGCCCACCCCGACCCCCGCCCATTGTGACTTCCAGGGCCGCCCAGGACACAGACTTTTTGTTCCCCAGGAAAATTACCCGTAGCGCAACACCGCTCCTCAGCTCTGCCCCCACCGGCTCCCTCCAATTCCTAGCGCAGCCCGGGGGCGGGCGGGGGTGTCAGTGGGTCCAACTCCGCAAACCGCCGCCTCCCCCACCAGAGCTGGAAGGGCTGAGCCCGGAACGCCCCCAAAGCCCGGCACGCAGCACCTTGTCAGCCACGACGCGCCTCCGGGAACCGCGCGGGGCTGCGCATCGGGGCAGCGCCCCCATATCGGCGCACCCACGGCCGTGCGGTCTCGCGCGGCGGGCGGCCCCACGATGTCTCCCCGCGCCGCCCCGGACTCGGGTGGGCGAGGGCGCTCTGTACGTACCCGAGGAGGCAGCGGTCGCAGACGACGCCACGACTCCCCTTGCACACCGTGTACGCTAAGGGATCTGAGCGGAAGAGCAGCTCTCCGGGGCGCAGCTGCACCAAGGCGCGCAGCCCATTTCCCCTGTTGGCGGAGCTGAACTTTTCCACCTTCGGCGGCTCCATCACCTCAGGTCGGCACCCCAGTCGTCCTCCGCTTCCCGCAGCTGGCGTCTCGCGTGCCGCCGGGAGCCGCGCGCCTGCGCCCTGCGCGCTCACGTACGCCCGAGGGGCGGGGCGGGCGCGCGGGACCTCGGCGCATGCCCAGACGGGGTCTGGAGGCGAGCCGGGGCGGGAGCCTGGGGTGGTCGGCACGGGCCCAGCCTAGGACTCCCAGGTTTGGCGGCAGGTTCCAGGGTGGCTCCGCGAGAGCAGCGGTGTTCACACACACTCGGTATTTTGTTGGGGACCCTACTCCTAGATCACACAGTTCTTAGCATTTTGCCATTTCTGTCCATTTTCTCTCCCCAAGTATGTAGGTATGGTTGTTGAACCCCTTGAAAGTAAGTTGTGTTGTTGAATCATATAAAGGTAAGCTGCAATCATCATGAAATCTCATAACTGATGCATTATAACATTTCATAATTAAATACTGCCACATGCATTTCCTCAGAATAAAAATACACAGTAGGACTACAATATCATCACCCCAAGGAAGATTATGCTACCAAGTAAAAACTATATTCATTTTAAGAATGGCTCTTGTAGCTTTCTTTTAAAAACCAGGATCCAGCAATCCCTATCAAAATAATACCAGCATTCTTCACAGAGTTAGAACAAATAATCCTAAAATTTGTGTGGAACCAGAAAAGACCCCAAATAGACAAAGCAATCCTGAAAAAGAAAACCAAAGCTGGAGGCATCACAATTCCAGACTTCAAGCTGTATTACAAAGCTGTCATCATCAAGACTCTATGGTACTGGCGCAAGAGCAGACACATAGGTCAATGGAACAGACTAGAGAACCCAGAAATGGACCAGAAACGTATGGCAAACTAATCTTTGACAAAGCAGGAAAGAATATGCAATGGAAAAAAGACGGTCTCTTTAGCAAATGGTGTTGGGAAAACTAGACAGCAAAGTGCCGAAGAATGAACCTGGGCCACTTTCTTACACCATACACAAAAATAAACTCGATGAAAGATCTAAACATAAGACAGGAAGCCATCAAATCCTAGAAGAGAAAACAGGCAATAACCTGTTTGACCTCAGCCACAGCAACTTCTTACTTGACATAGCTCCAGAGGCAAGAGGTACAAAAGCAAAAATGAACTATTGGGACATCATTAAGATTAAAAACTTCTGCACAGGGAAGGAAACAATCAGCAAAACTAAAAGGCAACTGACAGAATTGGAGAAGATATTTGCAAATGACAAATCAGATAAAGGGTTAGTGTCTAAAATCTATTAAGAACTTAGCAAACTCAACACCCCCAAAAAACAAATAATCCAGTGAAGAAATGGGCAAAAGAAATGAATAGACACTTCTCCAAAGAAGACATCCAGATATCTAACAGATGCATGAAAAGATGCTCAACATTACTCATCATCAGAGAAATACAAATCAAAACCACAATGAGATACCACCTCATTCATGCCTGTCAGAATGGCTAAAATTAACAACTCAGACAAGGATGTGGAGAAAGGGGAACACTTGTTCACTGCTGGTGGGAATGCAAACTGGTGCAGCAGTTCTGGAAAACAGTGTGGAGGTTCCTCAAAAAATTAAAAACAGAACTACTCTATGACCCAGTAATTGCACCACTAGGTATTTATCCAAAGGATACAAGAGTGCTGATTTGAAGGGACACATGCACCCAATGTTTACAGCAGCACTATTGACAAGAGCCAAAGTCTGGAAAGAGTCCAAATGTCTATCAACTGATGAATGAAGAAAGAAGATGTGGTATATATATACAATGGAGTATTCCTTGGCGATCAAAAAGAATGAAATCTAGGGGCACCTGGGTGGCTCAGTTAGGCATCTGACTTCGGCCCAGGTCATGATCTCATGGTTCGTGGGTTCGAGCCCCGCACCGTGATCTGTACTGATGGCTCAGAGCCTGGAGCCTGCTTCAGATTCTGTGTCTCCCTCTCTCTCTGCCCCTCCCCCAATCATGCTCTGTCTCTCTCCCCTTCAAAAATAAACATTTTTAAAAAAAAGAATGAAATCTTGCCATTTGCAACAAGGTGGATGGAACTAGAGTGTATTATGTTAAGCGAAATAGGTCAGTCAGAGAAAGACAAATATGATTTCACTCGTGTGGAATTTAAGAAACAAAACAGATGAACATAATGGAAGGGAAGCAAAAATAATAGAAAAACACAGAGAGAGACAAACCATAAGAGACTCTTAAATAGAGAAAACAAACTGAAGGTTGCTAGTGGGGTTTTGGGTGGAGGGGATGGGCTAAATGGATGATGGGCATTAAGGAGGGCACTTGTTGGGATTAGCACTGGTGTTATATATAAGTGATGAATCACTAAATTCTACTCCTGAAGTCACTATTACACTATGTTAGCTAACTTGGATATAAATTTTTTTAAAAATACAATAAATAAATAAATTAAATTAAAAAAAGAAACTGGTATTATAAAATTATTGTCTTGTAAAGAAGTGATCAAAGAATATGCAACCTAAAATGTAGGGGGGGGGAGTATCAAGGGCTCTATCACAGTTAATAATTTTTTTTCTGGATTTCATGATATTTGTGGTACTTATCAGCTTTAAATTTTTTTGTTGTTGTGACTTCTTTTCTCATTCCAAATACTCCCTTTTGTGCTTACAGTCATATTCATTGTTTTGATTTTGTTTTTTTAATTTGAGAGAGAGAGAGAGAATGAATCTTAAGCAGGCTTCAGGCTCTGTGCAGAGTTGTATGCAGAGCTTGATCCCACGACCTGGGGATCATGACCTGAGCCAAGATCAATAGTCAGACACTCAACAGACTGAGCCACCCAGGTGCCCCTGTATCCTTTCTCTTAAAAGAAGTCCCCCAATACCCAAAAGATTTGAAAGCAGGAACTACAAGAGATTGCACGCCCATGTTCATAGCAGCATTATCCACAGTAGCCAAAATGTAGAAACAATCCAAGTGTGCGTCAACAGGTGAATAAACAAAATGTGGTATATACATACAATGGAATATTACTCAGCCTTAAAAATGAAATTCTAATACATTATAATGTGGATGAACCTTGAAATCATGCTAAGTGAAATACTGCAGACACAAAACAACAAATATCGTACGGTTTCTGGAATAGACAAATTCATAGAGACAAAAAGTAGAATATCAGTTATCAAGTGCTGGGGAAAGGGAATGGAGAATTAGCACTAAATGAGTATAGAGTTTCTATTGCTCGCTGAAGTTGTATAAACCTGCACCCCACAAAATTTGGATCTGTTCCTACTGATGAAATAAGCGATTCCACAATCATGCAATTTAACATCCTATAAGGAGAAACACATGTTCAGTAACAGAGTTAAATTCTTTTACTTAATAAAAAAAGATCCATTTAATTATTGTAAGATGGGTTGTTGCTTTTCAGAACTCTAAAATGATAAATCAGAAGCATCAGGTTCCAAATTTGCTATACAAAACCACTCAGAAACTGGAAAGATGACTGACTCTTAATATTATTTAAAGTTGCTTGGGAGGGACCATGTTATGTTTAGATGTATTTTATTTAAAAAAATTTTTTTTTACACATTTATTTACTTTTGAGAGACAGAGTATGAGCAGGGGAGGGGCAGAGAGAGAGGGAGACACAGAATCCGAAGCAGGCTCCAGGTTCTGAGTTGTCAGCACAGAGCCTGATGCAGGGCTTGAACCCACGAACTGTGAGATCATGACCTGAGCTGAAGTCAGATACTTAACGGACTGAGCCACCCAGGCGCCCCTAGATGTATTTTAGAAACAGAAGCTCAGAATCCCTGGGCCCTCCGTCTTATCTTGCAACTCAATACATTCTTTTGGTGGTTTCTCTCACATGAAAACAGTAAAAGAGGTTTAAGGAGAACTGGAAGACATTAAGAGGTTCATGATGTATGGAGTACAGGTTTTTATACCATAAGTAATAAGGAAATCCTGGGAAGGATGTTGAAACCATCTTTCTCCAAGTCTTGGAGATTTGATGTTTCCAATGAAAATTCTTACTAAATTTACAATCAGTTTCATCATGAATCTAAATTGGATTTTTAAAATACAAAAAAAGCAATGCTTTCTCACCCTAGTTTTTCCCTTTCATATCCTTGTGCTTTTTATTTTTGAGAGAGAGAGAGAAAGAGAGAGAGAATGCTTGTGAGCGGGGGAGGGGCAGAGGATCCGAAGCAGGCTCAGGGCTGACAGCAGAAAGCCTGATACAGGGCTCAAAACCATGAACCTATGAACTGTGAGAGCCGAAGTTGGATGTCTACCCAACTGATCCACCCAGGCGCCCCTCATATCCTCGCTTCTAATGAGCAGATAAAATCCAAGGAGAGCACAGAATGTGCCTCAATTCCCCATAAACCTTAATTGAAATTTTAACACGCTGTTTTATTAGGAAGAGGTAAATTAAGTAGTAGCTATAAATGTTTAATACAGAACTACCCAGCAGTTTTAGTAATAAACAAAATGAACTTGGTTATTAACCAACTTACTGGATTATTTTTTAAAGTGTATTTCATGTCTCACCAGGTAACTAGGATTCCTCTTTCAAGCCTTAGAATGGTGCCAGTAATATACTAATAGGACATGGAACTTAAAACACCCCTTCCTTCTAGTCCAGGCATGGCGTGGAGGTCACCAACTGGCCATCACTCGAGCATTGTGCTAATTTTTAGTCGTTAGAAGATCCCCATGTTGAAATGGGATGCTATTGATGAGTGCTACTGAGATAGTATTTATATAAAGGAAACTGATTGGCTTCAGGCATTTGCTTGGCTTTGGACACGTATATGGCTTTAGGTATGGCTGGAGCCAGGGGGCTCGAATGTTATCAAAGTGATGTCTCCTAATTCCATGTGTTAGCTCTGCTTTTTGTACGCTGACTTCATTCTCCAGGTTTTCCTCCCTGTAGGAGTACACTTTGGTAATACAGTATCACAGAATTATAGAATATCACAGATAAAAAGGCCACAAAGT